CCGCAAACGGAAAAAACATGACTAATAAAAATGCAAGACCGTGTATATATGTATTTTTATTATTACATATAAATAAACGTAATAAGAAAGTATAGTCTATATTTTTTATTATTTGGAGGTCTCCAGAACGAATTAATCAAATTTTTATAGAAACCTATGGTAAATTGATAATCGGTTAACGAACAATTCGGATAACGAACAAAGTCTTGGAACGGATTATGTTCGTCAACCGATCATCCACTGTATATGCAAACATAATAAAACTTTATGAAAACTATGAAATTGGCCTGATGAATGAAGCAGTAATGGCATTAGTCTGTCACTCTAGAGGAATGATTCAAATCCAGATCAGAATTTCAAAAATTTTTACAGGTGATGAAAATGTTGATCTGGCTATTTTGGACTTTATCTTTTACCAGCTGACCGCTCTACTGTGGATCTGACCTAAACTCATGATAAAAATGTAATTAAAAAAACTGTAGTATTGAAAACCCTGGAGTGCAGAACTCCAGCATAGAGTTCAGTGTAGATGGCTGAACTGGAGAAAGATGATTGGGGTGCTGTGTGATAAGAAAATAAACTGCAAAATAAAAAGATTATACAAAATCATGGTAAGACCTGCAATGATAAACACTGCTGAGATGTGGACAATTACAAGATCCCAGGAAAAGATTAAGGAGACAGCAGAGATGAGAATACTGAGATGAATGTATGGTATGATGAAAGAGGACAGTTTACATAAATAATGTAATTTTTATCCCACGCTATGAAAATTATTAGATCTTTATATTTGGATTCTCATTAACTTAAAATATTCTTAACCTAGGAGTTTGTAGAAGATGTATGTAGTTTGATTAGTTACATTAAAGCATGTTTTGAATAAACAGAGAAGAGTTTTGTTACAAATATGACAAATGCTATGCTAAATGTAATTGTCAATGGGCCAAGTAATTATTATATTTAAATCAAAAATTCATTTAAAAAATTTTTTAATTTTCTTTCTTTCTCATAGTTCTATTTCTTTTTATGTATAAATAAAGATAGTAAGAATTCTCACAAACTGAAAATACAGGTATTCCTCGCCTTATGTCGGTAATTGGTTCCAGGAAAGTGACATAAGTCGAATTTACTTGTCTCCGAATCTACTTGTCACTAGGCTAAACCATAAATTACCATTTCCGGTTCTGTATTTTATTTATTAATGCATTTTTAATAATATATGGTTAATAAGGATCTATTTTAAGCTTACAAACAAATAAATTTTAGTTTTTAATATA